CAAAAGTGCCTAGTACATTGGGAGTTAGTGTTAACGAGGACATAGCACATTGAAATATGCAGACACAATGACAGAGGAAATTGTCAAAGATTCAAAGAAGCAGCTCAGTACAATCTCGTTCCATAATATAGAATAGCAAAAAAGTTATGAGCCAGGCATGGTGGTACATGCGTGTAATTCAAGCACTCAGGAGGCTCAGGCAGGAGGATCAAGTTTGAGGCCAACCTGGGTAGACACTGTCTCAAAAAACAATCAAAGTTATTACTGTTACCATTATCAACATGATTATCTACAATGAAAAATCTGAAGGTACACCCAACCCTAACAGTCACCTCTAAGAGTGGAATTATGTGCTATTTGTTTTAGAATATTAAATTTTAAAAGGAGTAATTAATGCTCAGGAAAAAATCATACAAAATTCTATATAAATACAGAAGAGCTTCAAAGATGAACATTACACCATTAGAGTTATGACACCAGTGCAAAATTCTAAACCAGGAGACATTAAATCTCTAGTTTTTGTAGGATCTAGAAGAGGTAATTCTGCTCCCAAGGGGACACTTGGCATTTCTATCAGCCACAGTGTGTGTGATGGGGGCTGCTGGCATTCAGTGGGCAGAGGCCAGGGACGCCACTCAACATCAACAGTGCCCAGGGCAGCCCCACAACAGAGAACCTCCCAGCCCAGACATCAATAGCGCTGGGTGGAGACCCACTGCTTTAAATCACTCAGGCATTTGCAAAAGCAGAAAGACATTTGGAAATGTTCATTTCATTAAACTTTGAAATGGGTGCCAATCCTTTTATAAAACCATACATCTTGCCCAAAGGAAGAAATAATTGGCTTTGAAGTCAAATAATTTAATCAGATCTTACATTTTGATGTTCAATTCACCAAGTGTGGGCTAAAGCACATTGTTATCTACATTTACAAAATTTTAGCCTGTGCTAAGTGCTATACCAAGAGCACATGAACCAGGAGGCCAGGAATTCAATCAGAAAAAAGTACTCCTTCCTTCCCACACCGCTCAGCAGTGGGGGGATAGAGAGGCAACAGTTTGAACTTAATTTCCTCAACTTATTAAAGCTGAAAAGGTGCTCCAAGGACCATACTCTGCACAATGCTGAGCAGCGCTGCGTATGGATGAACCACACAGCAGAGCACTTCCCAGACGGCCTAGGATAGTCTAAGAGATGATGGAGAAGAGCTGTTTTGCAGAGTGACTTACTAATATGGAGACCTCAGAAAACAAGCTTACAATGCCAGGTGCAGTCTCAGCTGCTGGGGAGGCCAGGGCAACATAGCAACACCCTGCCTCAAAAAATAGCAAACAAGCTCAAGCTCAAAAAACTCTGCAGTCTACTCCAGGTATCGCCAACAGGCGATGAACTAAGCAGTTCACAGATGCATTTGATGTGGGATAGAGAATTTTTTTTAACTGAGGCCGCACATGGTTGGCACACACCTATTATGTCTGTACTTGGGAGGCTGAGGCAGGAGGTAGCAAGTTTAAGCCTGGGCTATATAGTAAGACTTGTCTCCAAAAAAAAGAAAGAAATTAATTTTTTGAGCCAATATAAAAAAGCTGGGTATTTGAGGGTTCTTCTGAGATATCAGTACCTGGACATACTGAGCCCTCATTCCCACTTAGCAAGGACCAGCTAGAGGAAAAGGTTTCAATCTCTCTCACTAGCTCAGCATTTTGAGAGTTACAGGTCATTACCCATTAGTGAGTTCCCAGCAGCTCTTTTATAGTAAGATGCAAAGGAACAGAAAGCTAGTTTGCATCCTGTATCACAAGAGGAGTACCATCTGGGGAAGAGTTGGTCAGGTGTGTGCACACAGGCACACATCTGTAACAGATCGTGACAAGGAAATGCTGTTCTGCCTTTCTCCCCACACCCTATCACTGGCCAGCCTCACTCAATTCCATTCCTGCTTGGCCCCTTTGGAACTCAGTAGTATGGCATGTAATTACCCGAGGCCAGGCACAGTGGCTCTCACCTGTAATCCCAGCTACTCAGAAGACAGATCAGGAGGATCACAATTTGAGGCCAGTGGAAGGGTGGGGTGGGGAATTAGTAAGACCCTATGTCAATCAATAAAGCTGGGTGTTGGTGGTGTGCACCTGTCAACATAGCTAAGTGGGAGGCTTAAACACGAAGATGGTAGTCCAGGCCAGCCCAGGCAAAAACTAAGACCCTACCTGAAAAATAACTAAAGGAAAAAGGGTGTGAGTTGGCTCAAATGGTAAAGCATCTGAATTCAAATCCCAGTACTGTTCCCCTTCAAATGGCCCCAAAACAACATCTTCTAGGGAACAACCATAAGAGATGGGATTATTAGTGATGCCAGTTTTCGTAACGAACAATAATTTATGGTGAAAGTATTGACTTCACAGTAAAAAGGAGCACATGGCTCACTTCGGCAGCACATATACTAAAATTGGAGCGATACAGAGAAGATTAGCGTGGCCCCTGCACAAGGATGACACACAAATTCGTGAAACGTTCCCTATTTTAAAAAAATAAATAAAATAAAATAAAAAGGAGCACATGAAAAAGCTTACCCTTCTCCCTAATGGGGGCCCCACAGTGGAAGTCAAACACCAAAGGCTCATGAGCTTGGAAGGGGGCAAAAGCCAGGCCCAGGATGTCATCCTAACACATATTAGATCCTGGAAGCAAATATTGCTGAAGCATCCATTCTGGCCAGGTCACATAACAGAGAAAGCAGGAGAATCACTGGGAAGGTAGAGCACTTTGGCATCAAGACGGTAGGATTCCAGCATGCTGTGAGCTTCCAGCTTAGCAAAGTGTTTCTTAAGATAGCTAAATCCAGTCCTAAAGATGACAGGCACAGGACCGAGCTCTCCAGTCCCCAAACAAAAGGCGGCTTTCTAACCAATCATAGAAGGTTTATGTAGTAACTTATTTCAACTTGTAGGTTCATGCTGCCAGTCACAAAATTTCCACTGCTGAAAACTCCTTACAGGGCTGTTGGAACCTATGACATGACAACTTTTTTTTTTTTTTTTTTACACAATTTTGGATAAAGCACAGTTTGTGGCAATTGTATGATACTTCATCATGGGGCTGTTTAATACAGACCCGCTCCTCCTTCCATCAGAAGCTAACATCACTACAAACAGCAGAGGGCAGTAGGGTGCAGTGGAAAGAAAACAGGATTTAGGACCCGGCTGTAGGGACTTGGGCAACCCCATCTCACGCTCTGCCTACCTCTGTAAAACAGAGAAGTGACTAGAGTTCTTTGGTCACGCATGGTCCATGATAGTGGTTGACAAACTTGGGCCCACAGGTCAAAGCTACACCACCTGTTCCTGTGTGGCCAGCAAGCTAAGCTAATGGTTGGGGGAGGAGAGGGCTAGAGCTGCAAAAAAAAGGCCTCAAAGGCCTAAAATGTTTACAAATCAGATTAAAATGATCCTGAGTGTTGCCCCTCTTCTTGCACTATGTGACTGACTAACTCATGACTATCAAAATGTCCCCAGTACATGTTGGGGTAAAGGGGTTATATTTTCAGACAGGGACCTTGAAGTATACTGATATAGGGAATCCACTAACTTCTCACCTAAAAATAAGTCACTCAAAGGTGAAGGAACTGTGTCATGAAGTCGGTTGTCCTTTTGTCCCTCCTGAGGAGGTTGATGGAAAGTTAAACGCAAATGCAAGTTCACATGTAAACTGTTTCTTTGAGATGCAGTGCAGGAGAACCAATGGTGGTTTACACACCAACATGTTTTATTTACTGTACCAGTTAGATACTGATTTCACGCGAAGTAAGAAAGAAACTGGGGAATGTGGCTCAAGTGGTAGAGTGCCTGCTTAGCAAGTGCGAGACCCCTGGGTTCAGTCCCCAGAACTGCCAAAAAAATTTGTAAAAAAAAAATAAAAACACAACCAGCACTCCCCTACACCCCTTCACTGCCCCTTGAGACCTACACCTTGAGACACTCCACCTTAATGGGTTTTTTTTCCCAGATAGGGTCTCACAAACTGTTTGCCTGGGCTGGTTTTACACTACATCCTCCTGATCATACAGGCGTGAGCACAGGCGCTCAAAAACAAGCTAAGTTGCTGGTTTAATATTTAAGTACATAACAAAATATGGTAAAAAGGTCCATCGATGAAAGTTCAGGCAGTAGGTTTGTTTTGTGAACTTCTTTTACATGGAATCATTTCATGGAATAAAAGTAAGGCTGGGCTTTTAAGGACCTGGGTCAGAAACAAAGGGGCAAGGGGGAAGATTTTTCTGAAACTGTGTCAACACAGCTAGGCCAACCCTAAAACAAAGCTGCACAGCTCAACCGTGAACCTGGAGGACCACAGAGCCCCAAGTCAGAACTGCAGCTGTTATCATGAAGAACCAAAAGCCACAGGACCGAGGGCATAGTGTCTGCTCCTCCCCTGAAGTCATGTACAGCAGAAATGGGGTAGCACTGAGTTCACAGCAGTTCACTAAGACTGCCACCCATGGATTTATCTTCAGAACTTGGGAGTCTCTTGAAGCCCTGAGCGGGGAAGAGGGAGGAGAAAGAGAGAGAGAAAACAGGGAGGGAGAGGGAGACTGATGATTTGACCTGAACGTATGCTTTATTCATTCTAGAAAACATCCTAAGATATTTTGATCTGACACTTAACAATTGGAAATTTTACTTCAAATTTAAAAAAAAAAAAACATTATTTTTAAGACAAGAGTCTCACTATACAGCCCAGGCTGGCCTTGAACTCTCAATCTTCCTGCCTCAACCCCTAGAGTGCTGGGACACTTCTAGGAATGACAAATGATCTGCAGCTGGCCTTTTGTGAACACTCTTCCCATCTTTCTGTCCCTAACAGGAAGAATTCCACCTAGCTGCTCATTTAACAGGGGCAAAGCCCCCTGCAGGTCCCTTTCACTTCCACGGTGCTCGCCTGCTTCGACAGTAACCACCCATGGTTCAAGCTGCTCCTGACCCCCTCTCCCACCCAGAGCTGACCTGTGCTCTTATCAAGGAAATCCATGGACTCCTCACTGGCGCTGAAGTGGCTGGATGTGGCCTTCTTCTCTGAGTCCTGCTCCACATCAGAGCCCGTGTGCACAGAAGAGTTTGTGCTCATGGGTGAGCGAGGCATATCCGATAAGGAAATCCTGCGGCCTGTGCCCCCACTCAGCATGGGCTTGCTCATGAGGATCTTGGGGGAGGCCGTCATGTCAAAATTGAGCTTGACCTTTTCCTGCTTATCTATCTTGGCAGTGCCAGCACTGGGGTTGGTGGGATCCAGCAGCATTTGGTACTGGCTATTGGGTGTGTAGGGTGTCCTGAATGGAGAGTAATTAAAAACCCCAAACTTCCTGCGGATGTTGTCCACATACACCTCCATCTCTTGCATGGCGCTGTTGAAGATGCTCTTGGTCTTTTTCACAGAAAAGGGAATTTCTTTGGACATGAGGTAGCAATTATTTATCGGAACCCAGGCCCTAGGAGGGCAAAAGAGAAAGAGAGCTCAAGTCAACTTTAGTAATTTCCAAGATTGTTGTTCTTTCACTCTTAATGCAAACCAAATTAGCCAGGCATGTTTGCCAACATTCTTAAGTGCATACTCCTTTTAAATAAAGGACTTGGTTTGAATGGTTAATTAACGATCCTCTTTAACAGACACGCTCTGCCATAAGGACAACAAAACTGCGTGAAGATATTAAAAGATTCTGCCGACTTAGTCATTTTAATCCATTAAAAACACAGTAAATCCCTTTGGTTTTCAGCTGGTGGAGAATCAGGAAAGAGTCACTGCACCTCCACTGTATGTTATTCCCAGATATCTCCTCACTGCACACGGATAGAGTGTTCTTTGACCTAAACAGGACTGGAGGTAAACTTTGCAAAACTCTATTCCTAGGAGGCAGTACACATTTTTGTTTATTTTTGTTTTGTTTTTGAGACAGGGTCTCACTACTCAGCCCTGGCTGGCCTCAAACTCCAGATCCTCCTGCCTCGGCCTGCTGAGTGTGAGGGTTACAAGTGTGTCCCCCACCCCCTGCAGATGCTTGTTTCTGAACTTGAGATAGTTTGCAAAAGTAGACTTTACCCTGAAGAGTTTGTGCCCTCCACCTCCCTACCCAGTCTTCCCATGCTTATAAGAGAAGTAGAGACAAGGAGGTTCTTCTTTGATGTGGCCTCATTTTCAGAGGAAACAACCCTGAAGAAATAAGGCTCATGCATGGAGAACTCAGCCCACAGGCTGACTATGACTGAACATCCCTAAAACATCTAGCTGCTCTCAGAGTGCTGGAATTACCAGCTTCTCCTATGGCCCAGAGCCACCCTTGTGCTGAGACCTGAGGCCCCCACTGCCAGCCCTGAGGAGGAAGGAGGGGGAAGAATGCGAACAAACTCTTAATCCTGGGAAGAGCAGAGATCCTGGCTAGACAGGGCTAAACAGGACGATCTGAGAAGGAGCCAGGGTCCCCAGGGCTGTCCCGGTCAGAGACATCTCAAGCCAGCCTCAGGAAAACGGAGGATGGTCCCAATCTGGAGGACAGTCAAAAGAAGCCAATACGATGGACTCGAGCCAGTGCCCGGCCCAACCACGGGCTTCTCAGCCAGTGGTCACAGTCTTCTGACCTGGGCTCCCCAGGCTTTTGTCTGACTTCAAGACTGTAACTGCTTCCTCGAAGGTTCTCAAGTGCCTTGAAGGGGACCTTGGCAGGAAAGTGTTTCTTCTCCTAAGAGCAAGCCCAGGAAATACTTGAAGGAAAATTAGATTTGCTTTACCATACAATGCCTCGGGGAGGGACAGGTCACAAGACGTCCCACAGCAGCAGGCCTCAGACGTCCAGTGCTGGAGTCAGACAATCTCAGTTCTAACCGGCCTGGCTGTGTCCCAGCTGAGTGCCCCCGATGGGGCATTGGCTTATTTGGGCCTTAGTTTTCTGGTAAAACTGAGACAAAAGCGGCTTTTGCAAAAGAGCATGTAAAACATTTTCTGTGTATGTTGTAGAGATTTGATTGATGGCAGCTTTCTTCTTGAAGCTCTTAAGCATTTAATAAAATAGTTCCTGTATTTTTACATTAACTGTGCATATGTGTCTAAAATTTTTTTTTAAATCTCTTTTAAAGGACAAAAATGTATGACTGTTCAGAACATGGCTTGAATTGTGCAAGCACCTCCCCAGGCTTAATCTAACATGGATTAACTTGACAACCAGCTCATGGATTCCTGGGACAGTTTTTATCCTGCTGTCCTGACCCAGTTGGCTTACCCAAGTTCAGGCTGACGCTTTGGCTCCACCTCCTGCCACCCACCCCAAGTGAGCTCCCTGAGAAAGGACAGCACACTGCACCTTGATCCTCGCCCACCTCCCTCAGTCTCCACCCTGCGTCTCCAGCCATTGTGCTCCTGGGTCTTAGCAGAGCCTCCTCTGCTTTAAGACTCTGGGGAAGAAGGGCAGTCACCCAGAACCAAGACCTCCTCCGGGGAGGCCTTCACCGAACAACACATGCTAAACTTCTCCAAGGTTCTGTCACCACACCACTGTGCACTGTCTTTAGCAACCCTTCGATGGGACTCCTTACCCCAAGTGAAACCCACAGGGTGGCACAGTCCCCTCCAGAGAACAGAGAACAGGACAGATTCTAAGAGGTCTTAGGAAATGCTCATAAACAAACACAGAGCCCTTCTGCCAGCTCCCAGCCAGAGCCAAGTGCTAAGCTTGGAGGTATGTTTGTTTTTCACAGTACTGAGGATTGAACCCAGGGCCTTCCACAAATGAGGCAAGTTCTCTACTACTTAAGCTGTGCCCCTAGCTCTTTTGTTTGTATTTTAAGACAGTCTCAAGTTACATTTTGCCTTGCTGGCCTCAAACTCTCAATCCTCTTGTTTCCACTGGAATTACAGGCATGCTCCCCCATGCCCTGCCTGGCTAAATGGTTTCGGGAAAGAGCCTCTACATACAGCAATGCTCATGCCTGCCCTTCCTACTACCTAGGCCATCTTTGATGGTTGACCGGCAGGTAAGGAATAAGAGGTGTCTACAGGGTGGTCACAGCAAAGGGAGCGATTCATCAACCCTGAGGGTCTGGATGCATTTGCTGCATGGGGCACTTGGCTTTGTGCCTGCCCCCCAATGATGTCCTACTATCTATACCCACACAATGCTACCCACAGAGAAAGAATCCTAAACCATCAAGATGGTTTACACTTACTGCGCTGATGAAGAGGCGGATGGTGTAGAAACTTCCAATTAAAAACTCTGCCCACCTCCTTGATCCTATCTCCCACATCCTCTCCTTCCTAAACCCAGTTCAAGACACACAGTTTGCCACCATTCCCTGCACACTCATCCTGGGCCCATCCTGCCTGAGCCTCGACCCAGAAGTGGATTTGCTGGAAGTGGAAGACAGTACCTGCCTACTAACTGCCCAGCACCTACACAGCCTGGGCAGGCACCACATGGGTATTTCTTTAAATGGAGAAATACATGGACTTCAGAGTTGTCAAATCAAAGTGTGATCTGGAAGTCAGCTTTATTCATGGATTTACTACACTCGCTTTTGACCAAGCTGGGCCCCAAAAATGATGATTATTTTTCAAATCAAAAGAAATTTCAAAAACAAAAGAATTTTGAATTCATGCACATACACTTCACAGCTCAGCCGATGCGCAGAAGCTCTCAGTGAGCCCCACATTATCGTCAGCTGTGCCTAAACCATGTACGATCTACTGAGTGCTTCCCTGCCATTAATGTTGTGACACTCTGACTCTCAAAAAGCAGATGGTGCCCAAAAAAACAAGGTAAAAGTTATGCTGATGGTCCTCCCGACCCAAAAAGAGCACGTGACTTGTTAAAATGAATTGAAAAAGTGAAAATTTTTGGATCTGCTGAAAGGCAGCATATTTTTAGTGGAAGTTGGGCAGTACCTGAAGCACTGGATAAGAGGAGCACGGAGTAAGATCTAGTTTCTGACAGTTATTTTTATGGCAGTATCATAGCCTACTCCATGCAGTTTCAAGTTATGGATGTTCAGACCTACTGTGCACACAGAATAGGGAAATTTGAGTACTTTAGAGTCCTGAACTCATTTGCTGTTTTTCCTCAATGGCAGCCTCCTTGGAGCCATAGAGCTGTGGCTAAGAGGGTCTCCTGGACTTCCCACAGACCCCAGTACCACCTCGGCTCATTTGCACTGTGTCTGCAGACAAGGCACTGCAAGGACGCCCAGAAGTTACTCTACAACTCACACTTTTCATCTGCAGGACCTCGAGCACATTTAACAAAGAGAGTGTTATTTAAAAACGTAAGCTGTACTTTCTATTTATTCTGTGTGGGTATATAATTTTAGTTTACATATTTAAACAGTTTCCCCTAGAGCTCACACACTCCAACTGCTCAGGGGGGCTTTGGAAAAGCCCTTGCCTCACTTAATCAAAGCGTAACTTGCTAAGAGGGAGCTGGGATGTTAACTGCTGCTCATCCCCGTCCACCTGTGGTTCTCAGGCATGCAGGGGCTCAGCTCTACAGGGAAGTGCTATTAACTGCAGTAATTCACTGTGCCATGTGCATGTGCATAGGGAAAGGGGAGGGCAGAGGCTCGCACCTGTCAAAACAGCATTCCCTTATAATTTCCCATTTTAACTACAGAGAAAAGGGAACAGGAGGGGAACTACTCCACACAGTGCTGAGAGAGTCATTTACAGGCAATCCGGGAAAACACTTCTGATCCCTGAAAGCATTATTTTCAAAAGCAATTTGCAGAGGTTTAATTTACTCCAGAAAATTCCAAAAAGAAAAAGAACAGCAGCACTTAAAATAGCCACAAAACTCATTCCAACTCTGGTTTCTTCGACAGAATTACTAAAGCAAGATCATTTTCTAATATACATGAAAATTTGAAGCCCACACATTACTAGGCTTACTTAGCACAGCATAGGAAATATTTTATGACTACAAGACCCATGATAGGTATCATAGCCATGCCAGGTACTAAAAGGAGCAATTTACTTTTTAAAAAATTACAGTAAGAGCCATCCCCTCCACCCCTTATCTGATCCAATGAAAGTATGAAAGGTTCAGCAGAAGCAACAAGTTCAAAGATGGTTTTGAACTCCCACCTGTCATGTTGTCCAAAGAAACGGGCATCGACCTGCCCATCCTTATCTCTCAGAGCTTTGGCAGGCCAGAATGGAAAACCCTTCAGCTTTGCCCAGACCAATGGATGTGGATTGCTCTAGAAGAAAAACAAAATCCAGAATTTGCACACATTTAGCAGCAAGATACACAGTGGAGTGTGGTATCTGAGGCTAAGGCAGGGAGCTAGGAATGCAACGAGAACAATTTCAAGCAGGGCTCACCAAATGGTGTGAATTCCCTAGGCAGTGTGTGGCCATGACTCCTGGGCAAAGTCGGGGAGAGACTTAAATAGTGAGATAGAGAAGAATTGAATGCTAACACAACAAGGCTTCGATCCCCACTTTTCTGTGCCCTATGGAGATGTCACAACCAGACTCTCTTAAGTTTGAACTAAATGTACATAGCACGTAAGGAATGGCATGAGCTCCCTTGACACCTTAGGGGGCTCCACAGAGCTTTGAAAACTCAGGTGTTTCTCTCCAAGGCAAGAAGAGACCTGAGGTATGTTTGGATTCTCCCCTTGCTCTCTCCAACCCTCTGCCCAGTCTTGCTCTCTCCAACCCTCTGCCCTCACTCCTTCATACAGTCACTCCAGCCCACACCAGTGCACTGCTCTCTGCAAAACACCAGGTCCTGGATTCAATGCCCAACTAGGATGGCTTTCCATGAACCATGGTCTCAAGACACTATAACACTCTTCCAGAAAAACCTTTCCAAACTTCTTAAAACAGACCCATAAACTTATAAATGACACAGCCACTCAAAACTCATCTGGCTTTAGCATGTTCTGTGACATCCCACCTCTCCTGGGCTCATTTGACATGGCATCTTAACAGTTTGCTCTAGCTGATCAACCCAGTAACAGACGCTAGCTCTGTCATGTGACAGTTCTGCCCAAGAGTTTATCCCACCTGAATTACATCCACTTGGCCATATCTTTATCAGTTAAAAAAAAAAAAACATAATTTTAAAACTTTTATCTCATAAGCCCCCTGTATTGGGGCAGCCATCAAAAGCACAGAGTTCAGAAAATGAAATAAGTAAATCCAACTTACACAAGGCTCACAAAACCAGTTGTCTCGTTTTTGGCAAGCAGCTAGATAACATTCTGGACAGACTTCAATTTCATTCATCTGTAAAGCAAAAATACATTAGAATATGTCACCCTGCAGGCCTCACAGCTGGCGGCCCTCAGTAAGCACTTGCTGAATTTTCTTTCTTTAAGTGTCTGTACTTCTATTTGGAAGACTGATTTTTCTTTTTCTTTCCTTCAGGGTCTCACAATATAGCCAAGGCTGGCCTTTAATTTCTGATCCTCCTGCCTTAGCCTCCTGGGATTACAGGTATGTATCACCACGCTGGGCTTACTTGATGGTTTTGAAGAATAAGATTAACTTAAAAAAGCTGGACACTGATGGCTCACGCCTGTAACTCTAGCTACTCAGGAGGCAGAGATCAGAAGATCGTGGTTTGAAGCCAGCCCGAGAAAATGGTTCACAAGACCCTAGCTTGAAAAAAAAAAACACATCACAAAAAAGAGCTAGTGGAGTGGCTCAAGGTACAGGCCCTGAGTTCAAACCCCAGAACCACAAAAAAAAAAAATTAACTAAAAAAGTCCCACAGTGGGAAGACCTTGGAGATGCATCCAACCATTACCCATTCCCAAAGTTCCCCCTCATCTAAGCCACCACCACTCTCTAAACCAAGTCAACAGCTGACTCCCCAAGGCATCCCAGCCTCCAGTCTTGCCCACAAAGCACCAGAGCCACCTTTTATAAACAGCACTCTGAGCTTGGCCTTCTCCTGCTAAAAGCTCTCAGTGACTTCCAATCATACAAGTAGTTCTGCCCAACAGGTTCACCCCGTTTCCAACCCTGAGGACCATTTGTCAGCATCTGCAGACATTTTCGGTTGTTACAACCAGGGGGCTGCTACAGGGATCTAGGATGTACACTACAGTCCCCATGAGAAACTAACAGTAAACCCTAAACATCTGGTAAGTTCCTTCAAGGCCATGTGCAAGCTGGTCCAGACCCACCTCTCTGAGCTCATCGTTGGAGCTTTGCTCCCCAACCCTTCCAGCCATTCTGGCCCCACCACAAGCCACATTCAATTCCTATGCCGTACTGTCCAGAGCTATTATTTCATCCCACAGTACCCTACTCTATTTCCACAAGTGACAATCAGAAAACTCAACAACATAGTTAGTCACTGTCCTTTTCCCTTTTAAAATAGTACATGCCCCTAGAGGAAGGAAAGACTTAGAACCAGTGGCTGGAGGCTCCTTGATCTGAATTTGGACAGCACCATTTTTAGCTCAGTGACTCCCCCAGGTCTCCTCCACTTTCTCAGTAGGGCAGGGCTGATGGCAGCACCTACCACGCAGGTAATCATAGAAACTAAATGAGAAAAATGACATGAGAATCTACACAAGTTAACACTTACCAAAGATTCAAAGCGTGCTGGGAGCATTCTAAGTGTTCTATAGGATCAACTCACTCCTCGCAGGCCTGCTGTTACCCCTACTTTATGTTACAATGGCAGAAAAAGAGGCCAAAGTCTAGCCTCCAATTTGCAATGATCCTTTTGCCCCTGCCTCCCAAGTGCTGGGTGGGAATATAGGCTTTCTTTACGAATGATGGAGGGAAGGAAGGAATAAAGAAGGAAGAAAGCACACAGGCAGGTCAAACGCTATCATGCCTCCTTTTTATTCATACAATAGGGATTTAATGAAGAAAGCCTCCTTCCCACCATTTTTTTTGCCATCTTGTCCCACAAACACCAGAGCCTCAACAGCTCACTAGCCCAACAAGCTCACTGATGACACATACTCCAGGCCATCCCACATTCCTCAAAACCCAAACTTCCTCTGTAAGAAGACCAAAAAGCCACTGACTCCATGCTCCTGTTGTGAGGCCGTGATAAAAAACGATGGGCTCTATCCAGGTAACCAAGAAAACTCAGGATGCTGGGTGCTTGGCCATGACATCAGAGTGAAAGCTAAAACTGAACTACAGCTGAGGTTAAGGGTCTCTTACAACCAGGGTCCCCTCTTTGCTGCTTTCACTGCTTGAACAGTGGGGGTGCTGTCTGTGCTTCAACAAATCCCAAAATCCCCACAGCCACCCACTCAGACACTGCAAGTGGACCGGTCAGCTCCCCACACCTCCACCAGGACAGCGGGCGGGAACCACATACCTCATGCTCACAGATTTTGATGACTACTTTTGCTATCTGCGTCAATTTGTGATTTCCTAGAGGGATAAGAAAATAGGATTAACTCTAGGGAAATACTGTAACACCCCACCTCAGGCCTACGCTTCTGTTAACAACCTTAACTTATTCTCCTCCCCAGTTCAGTGCTTAAAGACTAAAACCACAAGTGTTAATACTGGTTCAAATTATTGACTTTACTCATCGACATCCAGCTGAAGTTGACACCTCCACATCTCCTCTCTGAAACGAAGCGAGTGGTGTGGGTTCCCTACAGATCATGGGTGAATACGTGAAAAACGCGTTGGCTTTCTACAGGCTCCGATTAGTAGAAAGAAGCCTTAACCCAGACCAAGAGCCAAGAAGAGAAGGGGTGTCACCGAGTAGCTCTGGTGTACCTGGTCTTCCCACAGCCTCCTCAGGAAGCCATAACCACAAACAGGTAAGGATGCTCACATTTCATTAAGGACTAACATCAAGGTCGGGACTCTGTGCCTCCATGAGAACTCAGCTAATGCAGTGAGCACCGGGCCCCAGGCCTAAAGCTTAACTCCTTTATCTTCAAAATTGTGAAGTTGGCAAGAATAGTTTACACACACACAATACCTAGATTTCTGGCTTGCCTTGAAAACACCTTAGATCTGGAACTCCACAACCAACAAGACATAGGCACCACCAACAGAGGGCCTCTCTAGACCAGGAGTCCCCTGTCCTCCATAATCCACAGCACGGCCAGTAGCCCTCCTGGCCTGAGCTAGGGTTTTCCTTCCACCTAATCCTCTTCATCTGTTTCTAGGATGTGATAATGTGTCATCCTATACATGTGAACTTATAATCTTTCCAGAAATTCTCAGTCTCTAGTGCCTCTGAGCCCTTCTCCCTTCCCCGCCTCTGAGGACTCAATAATGCAGTATGTGTGCTTAAAGCAGATCCGCACAAACTCACACAGTTTTTCTTAAACATTGGCTAAGGTCTATACTAGGGAAGAAGACACTATGCCTGCCCTTGGGGGTTATAATCCTAGTGAGGAACTCAATCAAGTAAAAGCAGCATCATTCAGAAAGTATGATAAACGCTCCCTGGCTGGGCCGTGAGAGAAGGCCTCTCAGAGGACTGAGAGACTCAGAATAAAGTTTTCCTTTAGTAGCCATCAAAGTGAAGAGAGCAAGGGAGTGAGTATGATAGCAGGAAGCACTGAGAACAAGATGCCTGGGAACCAGAACAGGGTGACCAGGATGCTAAAAGATTTACCTGGCTGGAAGGTACACAGAGAAGGCTGCAGGGAAGATGGGACAGGAGAAAAGAGACCAGAAAGGTGAAATGGAAGTTCTCTTCCATTATCCTCAAAAATACAGCTGGCAAAACTACCCCAAATACAAAGAACTCCTGTAACTCAATGATAAAAAAATACATATACATATATATTATTTTTTATATATTTTATATATATACATACCTATATGTATAGATAGATATATCTATGCCCAGTTTTTGAAATGAGCACAAAGACTAGGATATTTTACCCCTTCTGAAAAAGTAAATTATTAATTACATGAAAAGATAATACCAAAGTCATTGGAGAAAGACAAATTAAAACCACGGTACCATTTTGTACCTTCAAGAATAGTGAAAATCAAAAACACAGGAAACACCAAGTGTTGACAAGGATATAGAGCAACTAGGACTTCACGAACCCATTGGGGAGGGTAAGACGACAACCACTTTGCAAAAACAGTAGGGTACACTGGCCAAGTGGCTCAAGTGGTAGAGCGCCTGCCTAGCAAGCATGAAGTATGAGTTCAAACCCCAGTGCCATGAGAAAAAAAAAGAAAAACCATTAGGCAAAACGTCTTATCAAGTTGAAGATAAACCTATTGATGGTCCAGCACCACTTCTAGGTGTTTATCCAAGAGAAACAAAAATATTATGTCCACAAAAAGTGTACAAAAAGTTCCCAACAGTCCAAAGGTGAAAATAACCTAAATATTCATGAGCTTCAAGGTGAATGGTCAACTGTGGTATGCTGAAAAAATAAAAAGCATTCAGCAATTAAAAAAAAAAAAAATACTCATACACAGCAACACGGATGAATCCCAGTGATGTGAGTGTGTGAAACCGCCAGACACACAAGAGGATGCTCTCTAGGACAGGTAAAAACTCCATTCCCAGAAAAGCAGAATAGTTCCTTTTAGAGAACTGAGTGAACTGGGCAGGGTCAGGTGAGACTGCACCAAGCCAGACCTTCTTTGGTGCTATGGCTACGATCGGTCAAAGTCACTGGACGTACATGTTACAATAAAGACTTGTAGAGCTAGGAACGTAGCTCAAGGGTAGAGCACTGATTCCACAATAAATGCCTGAATGACAAACAAAATAAGAACTTTCAAAATGACCGCAAGGGACAGTGGCACCACACAGCATGGAGACACTATAGATGTCAGCTCGTGCCTAATGCAGGTGGTCATAGTCTCCTTTCACATGGTAGCAATCTCTGTCCAGGTATCTCAGGCGTGGCTGGTACGTGAGAGCAGAGCCTGGTTTTTAATAAAGGGCAGGGGACGAGCAGCACACACAGCAAGCTCCCTTCCTTCAGAACCGCTCAGCCACTCACCCCCGTTATAAATGATGCAGTTGTGCAAAATCCACTTGGCGTCAGCCAGGAAGGCTTCCGTGCAGCCATACATTTTCTTTTTAGCGTTCTAGGGAGAGAAGCCACGAGCATAATCACCAGTGAGTTGACAGAAGCCCCAGTCAGTAACACCTGAATCCTCGTGTAACCTTCTTGGCAGTCACTGGCCAAATTAATTAATGGTCTATTCGTTTCCCAAGATGCTATTGCTTTTGAGATCTATAACCCGATAAAAATACACCCGTCAAATATATCACAGTGACTCGAAACTTCTCATCTGAAGCTGCTACATTTATCAAGCAGCTCCTCCCAGTGACATGTATTTGCATATTATGTATTAATAGGTCCCAGAGTGTCACATCCTTTATGGAAAGCCAGTGAAGTACTTATGATTGTCTTCACTTTGCACAAGAGGAAACTGAGGCACTGTAATATTCAGGAGCCTATTCCAAGTATGAAGCAAAGGTTATAACCATATCTTTTTGGAATGCTTTCCTCCCTCCCCTCGCCACCCTCTACACCATAACCATGTGTAATTATCAAAAAGACTGGGATGTACTGTTTGGGGGGCTATCCATGCAGACAACGTGGAATACTGTTTCCTCTTCCTGCCTGCTTCTCGCTCCCCACACTTTGCGGCTAACAGTTTGCAATCAGAGCTGGGATGAGATACACAAAGTATAATTTCCAGCACATAATTTTAACATGAACTTTCAAAAACACCTTCAGGCAGTAAAGAAAGAGCGCTATGAGTGGAGTAAGTCAAGTCTGAGGAGCCACATCTTAATTTGCTCTTCTTCCCTCCTGCTGCGCCCATTAGCACCTCCAAAAGAACCAGGCAAGCATGACTCCAATCAATCAATAATCAACCTGCTAATTCTCAGAAGCATTCAGGTAAAAAGCCAGAATCGCTCACTGAATTACAGTCAGTGGGTCTCAACGTTTCACTGCAGTCCTTGGAAGAATGTTACAGAGGAAGGAAGTGGAAGGTGGAGAGCTCTTCTAGGCACATAAAAAGGGAGCACACAAATGCATGTGAGCAATCTAACTGGAGACAGGCATGGGAAGTGAGGGAGGACCCTTAGCCATCTCCACAACTATGAGGCTCTTTCATGGACGCCAACCTTTTCCAATGTGCAAAGGTCCATCGGGTGGAAGATATATTCTGCGTAGTCAGGATGCTGCTCCAATGGAACGGGCTTCTGGAATGCATCTGTCTGCAAAACAGAAGATACATGCACAGGCACGGCCCTGTCACTGCTGTGGGAGGCTGAGAACTGATACCAACAAAAGGATTCCAAAAAACGAAAATGCAATTCTAAAGATACCCAGAAAGGATGACCTTGGAAGCTCCCAATTGGTCCACCCTCTAATTCTGGCCTGTTACTGAATATCCTAGGCCCAGTTGAAGTTGGTTTTGTTACTTGTTTGGGTTTTAGCATATACTCAAGTAACAGAACCTGTCCTCATCCATTAAGGTTGACAATGACAACACCATAGTCCTTGACTCTAAAAGAGGTTAGTCTACACCTCACAGAGGCCCAGAAGCAAAACTGAATCGAAGGTGAAATGTGGCTGTAACTGAAGACCCATATAAAGGTTCCTGAATGCCAGCAAGTGTTTTCCATATGGGAGAAAAATCTAGACAGTGAGATTTGGCTCTTCCTTTGAGAAGCCAAACTGCCTTCAACACAGGGACCGTTGAGTTTTTTGGCTTTTGGGTGTTTATTTTTTTTAATTTTAATCCATTTTCTTAACCCCTACTTGAACCAGCTAAAGACTTGTGTTTGTTTGTTATGGATAGGTGGTACTTACTTAGAAACTTTAAAAATCTAGGACTAGAGACATGGCTTAAGTGGTAGAGCTCCTGCCTAGCAAGCAAGAGGTAGCAAGTTCAAACCCCAGTGCCACCAAAACATCAAGAAGATAAATTTTTAAAAAAATTAAAATCTAGAAGATTTAATTACATATTAAGTTATACTCAAGCAAGGCATCTAATCAGGTAACCATTTGCGCGTGAGCCTTCTTTAATGCAGAATAAAAGTTAGTGCACTGCTGGGGGCTGTGGCTCAGCAGTACAGCACTGCCTAGCACATGTGAGGCCCTCAGTTTGGTCCTTAAAAAAAAAAAAGAAAAAGTTTCAACAAAAGACAGATTCTGCTGAGTGATCTCTGCTCTGTTCTGAATACTATGCATGAGAAATCAACACCTTCTATAACTTTTCTTTTTGGTTTGTAATTCTACAGAGTTGGGCTGAGGATGTAGCTCAATGGTACAGCACCTGCCCAGCATAAACCAAAAGGCCCAGGGTTCAATCAAAAGAAGAAAAAAGAAAACGAAAAAGCTCTAATTCTACAAAGTTCACAAGCCCACACAACTCATTTCTTTCGTAAAGTCTTTAGCATATATATATATTTGTGTGTGTGTGATACTGGGGCTTGAACTCAGGGCCTACACCTTGAGCCACTCCACCAGTCCTTTTCTGTGATGGGTTTTTTTAAGATAAGGTCTCACGAACTATTTGCCCAAGCTGGCTTCAAACCTCAATCCTCCTATCTCTGCCTCTTGAGTAGCTAGGATTACAGGCGTGAGCCACCAGTGCCCAGCCAGCAGATATAATTTAGCCTAAGAGAAGCAGGAAGTAATTCCCTGACACAGTCAACATTTAAAAAAAAACAAAACAAAAAAAAAAAACACTCCATAGGGGTTGGGGGGCGCGGGTATCTCTCAAGAGGCAGAGAATCTGCCTAGCAAATACAAGGCCCTGAGTATCGCCAAAAAAATTTTATTTTACCTAAACTGAGGCTATACACTTTGCCTCCACTGATTCAGATTTTATTTAAAAAGCAAACAGGTTCTCAATTTAACAACATCTAATTGGCATGCTCAAAGTTTTTTTCATCAGAACATCAAATTTTAAAAGCTTGGGTTTCCTAAAGAACCCAAACCATAGTGATTACTAACACACTGAGAGATTACATTTCTGTATATTCATTTCACTTACAAAGAGTGGACCACAGGGGGCTTTGTGCAAATAAAAAAAGGGAACTGTTCCCTCAAGGTTTAGATTCACCAGCAAGGAAAATGTCACAATATGTCAACTACATTGTCATAATATATATTATGTTTCAACACAAGGTATTTTTCTGCCATTTTCCTGAAAACTCTAATATCTATACCAACCACAACAGCTATGGTAGGCCTGGGACTCTCAGGAGGGCACTGCTGTGACAAAACAACTTGCCAGCTGAATGCAGCAGCCCTGGCTTTTAATTTCCCGAAAGGGACAAAGACTGTTTCAAAATTGAACAGCCCAAGCACATTCTTCCCCTTCATGGAAATCTCACTGGTTGAGTTTTACTTGAAGGTTCCATCATGAGGCCTTGGTTATAAATAAACTGGGCTGTACTCAGTTCTCACTGCAATGGAATTTCACCAACGCCTGAGAAGGAGCACAAAGTTCCTCCTTGACCAATGAGGTATGAGGCTCACTTTAACTTTAACTGAACTTTAACTGTCCCCCCACCCCCACCTTTCTACTATGTGACATTTCCTGACTATACTCCTTAGGGACACGGAGCACTCACTACACAGAATGATAGAGTATCACTGTATCTTATGGGTTTTTACATTTTTTGGCAATACCAGAAGTGCTCTACCACTTAAGCCACTCTGCCAGCCCTTTTCGTGTAGGTTATTTTTGAGATAGGGTCTCGCTTTATGCCCAGGTTGGCCTGGACTGTGATCCACCTATCTGTGCTTTCCACATAGCTGGAACAATGTTAGATCTTGAGAACTCTCCCCCGGGGCTGGCCTCAAACCTCAGTACTCCAGACCTCTATCTAAGTAGCTAGGGCTACAGGTGTGGTCACAGTCCCCAGCCTCTTTTGTTTAATTTACCAATTTTTAAATCTGGATACACAGGAAGGTCCAAAGAGTGTGTACAGGTGCCTGAAAAGGAAAGCCTACAAGGACTACGTAGGACGTTAACAGAACAGAACACAATTACTCTCTTCATTTGCCCTTACACCAGCAGAACTTTCTTCTTACCCCCGGCTGTTTCATTTTCTGAATGGCAAACTTGAGCAGGTAGGACAGCTGTTCAATGGTGAGCATGGTCATGGCTTTACTCTGGGTCTCGATGCATTCTGCTACTGTAATCTTCTACAAGTCAAAATCACACACACAGGTCCCATTAGAAAAAAGACACAACTAGTCACGCACTTCCTCTGCCTCCACTTTCCCATAAAAAGCAATTCCCATCTGAAAGAGAATGGCTGCTTCACCTGGTAACGACTCCAGCCTACTAGACCAACGTGTACTGACTCTGTGGGTAAAATTAAAAAGCTCATCAATCCATGTATTACCTTATTAGGAAGTGTTTTTAGTTCACAAAACAACATGAGCTGAGCTGAGGAAGGTGTGGGTACACAGGACCTGAAAGAGGGTCTTGATTATAACCTTTGCGTCTCAAGAAAGAGCCATGAAAGGAAAAGCTCCAGAAAGCTCATGAAGGTGACCTCACAGGATGACATTTGCTGTCTGTATAGTCCTGCGGTCCTGAGCTCAGGACCTGGGAAGGGCCTTATTTCAATGGCATGCCTGATGCAAAGGGACAGGGCTCCCTGTAGAAAGAATCTAGGGATGGTAATAGACTAATAAATACTTTATTCCATCCCCTATGGATGTGAACCCATTAAGGACATCCTAGAAACTTCTCGAGGGGCATAACCTCACTGTCTTATCTCCATGAGCAGTAACTGTCATTTCATGACGGAAATTCCCATCAAAGAAGAGACCCGGAGAAAGAACTGAGATCGGATTCTTCTATGTAAATCTAGCACCATGCTCTGGGAGCCATGTGGCAACAACAACAAAAATAACAATTCTGCTGTCAGGAAAGCTCTCTTGGACCACCCACAAAGGAAAACGAAGAAATTTTCTTCAATTAATTTGGAAGGAAGGAATTCAGTCACCATCCTTCACATCTGCAGGGCCTCCTTGAAGAATGCTCAGATGTGTCTAGCACATCTGGTCACTCAGAAGCTGGAAACAGTGCATGATGCACACATCTGACTGATTGGCTACCAGGGCCTGAAGCATCCAGTCTTCCCAGCTTTCTGCCTTTATCAGCTGGCCCCTTAGAGAGATTTGGGGCCCTGAATTATAGACAAAGAACACATGTTGCTTGAATCCCAGTTTGTTTCCAGGTACTATCCATGGTGGCCACTTGGGTTGCCTGCCCACCTGTCACTTCTCTCCCTCCCATCCCTGGCTCCTGCCTCCTCCCAAACAGTGCCTGGCTCCCACGACACCAAAAATTCCTGTCAGGCATTCTTCAGCCCTTTCTGAAGGGAAACTCGTGGTCCAATGCGGACCAATGAGCCCCCAAGGGCAAATCAGCTGGAGGATGACTTTTGTCTATCCACACCTGATACCTGAGCCCTCAGCAGCCATCTTAAGATTACTGTGAGGGGATACATCACCTCAAGGATGAGATGGAAAGAACCTGGAGCGGTACAACTCTGGCTGGCCCTGCCTCTGGGCTCTTCCTACATATGGTGATAATATGTCCCCTACTGTGCAGGCCACCTTTCATAAGGAACTGTCACTTGCACAGAAACATCCTTGAGAAGCCTCTACCTTTTCTGCAGTATCATTAAAGCACTGGGAAGAATTGCTTAAATCAGTGATGGCTCCAGGGCCCACATTAAAGGTAGCAAAATGAGGTCAGGCCCACACACAGAGAGCAGAGCATCACTGCACAAAGCAGGCGCTGAAATGTCTCAATCGAGAGTAACCCATGAGAACCGGGGACCATCTTCTGCCTTTCCACTGGCAGAACACTACTACAACGCTATAATATGCTTTGATATCTAATTTCTTTTCATGTGCTTCTCATTTTCCTCCTTTCCTTCCTCCACAGTCATTATCCTACAACAAGAGGGGTTTCTTCCCCACTAAAGACATGTGGGTGGTTGTTCCATTCCCCCGCCAGAAAGCATCCTCATTTGAGATCTAATTCCAATGTATCTTGGAATCAAGAGAGATTCTACATTAAATGATTCTGCAAATGGTGCACGTTTCTTGTCAGCACTGGGAAATACATTACTCTTGGGAGTTGCCACAAGCAGAAGCTACCTCAGAATGGTGGAGACCTTTCTGGGTGGCTGAATGGAGAGTGTTTAAGGCTTTGCCGCAAATGACATCCTCGTGCTGCCTTCAGCCCAGTTTGCAGCAGCCCTAAACCTGGCCCTGCAGAGGCTGGACCTCCATCCATCCTGCAGAGGAAACAACAAAGTCTCCCCAGGTGGCTGCAAGGCTCATTATGCCCCCTTCAGGGCTCCCTCCAATCTCCATGGGGACACTGTGCCTCCTGAACTTCCAGTTCCCATCTTCATGTCCCCAGAACACTCTTCAACCTCATTATATGGAACTTTGTTTTGGTTCTTGTCCTCTTCTGCTGAAGAGAAAGTGATCCACGCTGTTCCTGCATAGTGCAGAATCCCCGGCACCTAACAGGCGTTCAAGAAATGCTTGCTGCATGAAAGACAGCATCGGATGGCCACCACACGAACATACACCCAAAATTGGTCTTTCCAGCTTGGCCACTGCTGACGATTCAATGATGCAGCAGGAAAACATCCAAGAAAGGGAGAGATAGCACGAGATCGTTTCGAAACGTGTGAACTGCTACAGATTTCTAAGTTCACTTCCAAGATGTTCACTGCAGAAGAAGTGGAGGCAGCTGCAGATTCCAAAGCAATCCAAAGACTCATGAGGAAGCAGAGACAATATGCAATGCAGTGCAAAGTCTTTCCAAGAGCGGCTGAGCTGCAGCCAGGGCAGATGCTGCTCCAAAAAGAGGGCGGCCAGGAGAGAGCAGGTGGGAAGGCAAGAAATTTCTCTTTCCCCTATTTGGATTATTTGAAAATGTAAAACTAAAAGGAAGAAAGAGAAAGGAGAGGAAACGAGGCAGGTAACGTATTCATTCATCAGGAACTAACCTCACATTCAGGACAAAACCAGTCCCCCTCTGGTTCCGATGTCAGTCTCAGACACTTAGCGTGATAAACCCGGGGACAGAGCTCACAGCAAAGGACTTGACCTTCCCGATGACAAACCCAGCAGTAGAAATCATTCCGTCCGTCCTGCGGTACAACATCAACAGGGTCTGTGGTGAGTGGCTGCTTCATATAGTAAAACGGACCATGTCTTAGTTCTGACTGAAATGTAGGCAAGAAAGACAGGTGTGGTTTCAAAACAAATGTGCAGTCTCAGCAGGAATTTGAACAAGTACATCATTAACAACACAAAAATCACAGCATCTCACACCCCCTCAACAGCCATGCTAGCTTGACTTACTCTACTACACTCGGCACTACAGGTGGGTCATTCAAATGTTCTTCCTTTCTGCTATTTTACAAGGCCAGACATTGAAAGCAAGCATCCGACAGTTACTAGGCAGCCCTAGCATACCTGGGTCCAACTTCTAATTCTACCATTAACCAGCTGCATGACCCTGGACATGTCTCTTCACCCGCTCCTCAATTTTCTCATCTGTAAAATGGAGCCAAGAATACCTAACATCATGGTATTGTATTGGGATTAAAAGGGCTGATAGGAAATCTTGCTAATAAAGTTAAGAGCAAAATACACAGAAGTCCAAATTCACAAAGCTAACAAAAGTACGGCAGTTTACCCCGGGATTCTGTAAACTGTAGGCATTTGAGAATCAAGCAATTGGATTCGGGTTGACAAAACTTGACTGTCCATTTTTACGTCCACTTCCAGCACGTAAAGTACATATGAGTCAAGAAGAGGCTAGTTTCTAAGGCCATGATTCTTAAATGTGACAGGTCCTTGTATTTGCTGTAGAGTCACACCTCTTAATCAGAACCAACAACAACAGAAAGAATTAGCCAATTCAGGGGAAGCAGAACCTTTCCTGTCCAGAAACATCTGGAGAAATGTTTGTCTAGTTAGATACTCTAGAATACAGCAAAGCCAAACTCCGAACACAGAAAACCGCACAGAAGGATCTTATTATAAAAATATTCAAACACCAACAAGAGAGCCCGTCTTAGGAAACCCATAAGAAAATCCAAGGGCTGGTGTCAAACAGTCCGGTGACAACCTGTATGACATTGAGAAAGCTCCTCAACCCATTCAGTCTTGGTTCCTTGACAATCAAACTATGCATTATGACTCAGCCAGGCTATGACAGAAGCTTCTTTTCTGTCCTTCAGTAAAAATTATGATTTCCTCCATAAAGACCTTATAAACTGGTTAGATGCTGCAAATTTTTTGATATTACAGACGGCGATCTTTTGCTAGTTTTATCTATTCCCGTTACTTTTCAGTTTGGGTTTTATTTTTGTTGTTCTTTTGGAGGTGGAAGAGGGTTGAAGCTGTACTAGAACCCAGAGCCTCATGCCTTCTAGGCAAGCACTCTACCACTGACCTACAGCCCTAGCCAATTTTTTTTTCTTAAGATACTGGGATTTGAACCCAAGGCTTGGCAGTTGCTAGGCAGGTGCTCTACTGCTTGATAGGGTCTTGCTTGTGTTTTGTTTTGTTTCCAGAGGCCTAGCCACAGACCTCAATTCTCCTACTTTTGCCTCTAGCATAGCTGGGATCACAGACATGCACCACCATACCTGGTTATTTGTTGAGATGGGGGCCTCACTAATTTTTTGCCAGGACTGGCCTCAAACTGCCAGTCTCCTACACTCTACCTCCCAAGTAGCTGGGTTACAGGCATGAGCCACTGTACCCAGAGACTCGAAGCCCACCTTACTTTAACAGCCAGACTCCAGGCTGTACGTCACCACTGCAAGCAGCCCGTATCTTGTTCCTGGCTTTTATTATGAAGCTTTAAAACTCTCAACATACCTGCCATTTCTCACCCCTTGGTGAAGAACTTCCTACATGCTCACTTAGCAACCTTCTTAAACAGTCTTTTGAAGCCTCCCTACTCTCATTCCAATCAAGTAAATGGCTAAGCCGTGTACTGCAATATTCCTCAGCTCAGTTCCTATTTCCCTGCTTCAGTTCGACTGTTAAGATGGAGCAGTCAGCCTGGTTTCCAAGAAGTAACATCACTGCTGTGACATTCTTTCCACAGGACGCTTTTCAACATACTGTTGCACACACCATCTTTATTTTATCCTGACAACCACCCAGAGAGGTATGTAAGGTAGGTATTAGCTTTACCTGACAGATGGGAAAACTCAGTTAAAAAGACTTATCTGACATCTGACCCCAGAGCCAGGGCTCAAACCTGGTCTCCAGCAGGCTCTCTCCTCCTTACACTCCACTCAAGACAATGCTTGATGCAAGAGATTGGTGATATGTGGGGGGGGGAGAGAGAGAGAGAGAGAGAGAGAGAGAGAACATTCTCTGTAAATCAAAGTACGTTCTACTTAATGCAAAATGTTGAAGGGAAGAAAAAAAAGTCCGCCAGGTGTAGGGACAAACACCTGTAATCCCAATGCTTGGGAAGCCAGGGTAGGAAGACTGCAAGTTCCAAATCAGCTGGGACTAAATAGAAAGACACTGTCTCAAAAATTCAAAATCTGAAACGATGGAAAACTATCAGAAACCTCATAGGAGGTGTCATGAACAGCACCTTGATAGGGACCAGAAGACTTGCAGAGAACTTCCTGTACATTGTAAGATGTGTGGCAGCATACCAGACCAGATGCCAGGGACATCCACACACAAAACTGCGGTAACCCTGCTGGGCACCAGTGGCTCACACCTGTAATCCTAGCTACTCAGGGAGCAGAGATCAGGAAGATCTCAGTTCGAGATCAGCTCAGGCAAACAGTTTGCAAAACCCTTTTCTCAAAAATACCCAACACAAAAAGGGCTGAAGGAGTGGCTCAAGTGGTAGAATGTCTGCCTAGCAAACATGAGGTCCTGAGTTCAAACCTCAGTACTGCCAAAAAGGAAAAAAAAAAAAAAAAACTGTGGTAACCAATCATGTCTCTAGACATTGTCAAACGCCCCTGGCAGGGCAAAACTGCCACAGATCTGCTGTCTGCCTAGGAGAATGGTTGTTTGAGTTCACTTTGGGGGTGGCAGGGTGAGGAAACCATACATATCAAGTAGGCAGAACTATTTTTCACTTGAATGGGTGTCCTAGGGTGCCACCGTGGGCTCCATAAGATAACAGTAAGCTGTATTTTCAGCGTCTAACTTCCTTTCAGTAAGTTAGTAATAGTACAGTCACTAGCACTTAAGCAAGCACGGGGTGTGGTGGTACACACCCAGTACCCAGGAGGCTGAGGCAGAAGGATACAGAGTTCAAGGTCAGCCTGGGCTACAGGGTGAGCTCAAAGTCAGCCTAGTACATAACAAGTTTCCAAAACACCAAAATGAAAAAGATCCAACAGAAAGTGGAAGAACCAAATATGGCCAGGTCACTGCCTAAAAAGCCACCCAGGCACACTCTGTCTACTAGCTGCAGACGGTTGGTTGGTTTTGTATTTTTGGTTCTGGGGATCACAGAAGAAACCAGTTACGAATCCGTCAGAATGGAGTTTCCCCCAAGCCCCCTCCCTGGTATGGCTGGGGGTAGGCGTCTTCAGAGCCCCATCGTGGAGCAGTGGTGGCTATACAGTTCACTGCTCGGTTAATCTCCTTGTCAATCAGATACATCCTTATCTGCTGTTTGTAAGGGTTTCCTGCTCCATAAAAATAATCTGATAACAGATATGGAACATTGTTTAAAAGAAAAGCAAATAATTTCAGGTAAAAATGAGTTACGGTTTTCTCCCCCTCGCATGCAAGGCCTGTAACCAGCCCAAGAGCAAAGCGGATGGGCTGCAGCTTGCATTACAGTGAGGTAACTTCAGGTTACAGCAGCAAATGTTCTCATTCCCTCATGCCTGCCTCAGGTCGGCTTAACGAGAAAATGGGAAAGACCTGCTCACTCATTTCTGAAATACCTGCATCCACACAGGGAGCCAAGAAAAAAACAAGAGGGTTCTGTAAGAATAATAAACAGATGAGGCTTGACAGGCCATACAGTGTCTACCACAAATTCAGCTCTGCCACTGTAGCGCAAAATCAGACTAAACATCCATGAACAAACGTGGCTGTGTGCTATTGTATTTATAAAAACAAGCTCGTCAGCCAAGTGAGATAGAGCGTATCTATAATCCCAGCAGCCTGTTATCTCAACCCTACTGAGGCTGTGGAAAAAGGATCAAAGAGTTCAAGGCCAGGCTGGGCCTGAAGTAGGAAACACAATGGCAGGGAAAATGGTGGGACAGCAGGGGAAAGCAGAGCCCATGCCCTATTCAACAAGGGCAGTCCCCACTCAGCTAAAGTGAGGAGGCAGCCAGGCTGACCCCCTCTCCCAGTGCAGCCTGACCTTGGGGAGAAGCTGGTCATCCGCATTGTCCCGAGTGTCTCAACTGTTAATCCACTTCCCAGCCTAACAAAGGGCTTCTGTGAAATGTCCCAGTTTGGGGTTTTGTTTTGGGGGTAGTGCTGGGCAGTGAACCCAGAGCCTCCTGCATGCTAGCAAGTGCTCTACGACTGAGCTACGTCCCCAGATCAAAACAAGGTATTTAAAAGCTCTTCTTAAAAGTCTCCTTAGGGGTATAGTGCAATGGCAGAGCACAGGCTTAGTGTGTAAAGCCCTGGGATTGGTACCCAGTAACACACAGACACACTCCAAAAGTACTCAATTCCCAGTATGTGAAAAATGAAACAGGCCAAACTTAAAACTCAACTCATATCTCTACTTGGTAATAAAAGGTCTCCACCAAAAATGAAAACATATAGCTTCCTTGGGTTTTTTTGGTTTTTTTGTGGGATTTTTTTGGGGAGAGGAGAGGCAGTATTGGGGCTTGAACTCAGACCTCATGATTGCTAGGCAGGCACTCTACCACATGAACCACTACACCAGCCCTATTTTGTGTTGGGTTTTCTCAAGATAGGGTCTCAAACTATTTGCCCGGGGCTGGCCTTGAACCTTGACCCTCCTAATCTCTGCCTCCTGAGTTACAGACGGGAGCCACCAGCACCCAGAATTCCTTGGATTTATAGGACCGAAACAGCTTTCCAGAAAACTGAACACAGAAGAGAACTGAAGAGACTGGAGAGAGGGCAGGAAGATCAAATGTCAGAGGGCAGTGAAGGCCGAGAGAGACAGAGGCAGAGGGAACGAGCAAGGCTGCAGGGAAGGCTGAGGAGTACAGCAACCAAGAAGCCCTGGTCCCTGTATAAAGGGCGGGCTTTCTGAATGCTAGGGTCTGAATGTCTGTGTCCCCCTCAAAATTCACATGCTGAAATCCAGACTCCAAGGTAATGGTATCAAGTGATAACAGTCACTATAGGAAGGGATTAGACCTGGAGGATAGAGTACTCATGGAAGGAGACCTCAGAGACCCCCACCCCTTCCACCCTGTGAGACACAGCAAGAAGTCAGCAGTTTGCAAGCCGGCAGAGAGCCTCAGCAGAAGGTAACCATACCTGCATCCTAAGTCACACTTCCAGCCTCCAGAACTGTGGGAAGCCAGTGTCTGTAGCTTCTAAGGCCCTCAGTCTATGGTATTTTGTCCTAACAGATCAAAGAGACCAAGATGCCAAGTTTTGATGAGAGCACAGAAATGTAAGTTTTACTGTGAAATACCATGGCCCCCAATGCTGGTGATGATAGGAATTATATTGCGTTGGTCAAATGCAGCATTTGGGGGTAGGAAAGGAAAGGTTTCTGGCATAATGTTCTCTGAGTTCCCCTTGAGGAGAAAAATAGGGCATGAAGATTATGCCTTCTCAGCAAACATTACATTCTAAAAGGAACCACGCACGCAGCCAGGGTTGGGCTGCCTTCCCCAAGCCCAGTTAAAGGTACTCCATCTTTGCCCTGGAGTTTTAGATCCAAGAAGCAAACCTACAAGTCAACCTTATGAGGTTGCTTTTCCAAACCCGTTTTATGATATAAGTGAAGGTCAAAGAGAAAGCAACTGACAAGGTCACCCCGCACCCAGCAAGTCTCCCAGAGGCCATGAGCTAGAGTCACATGGGAAGGAGCAGCATCTCTGCCCTCTTCTGTGAATACTGCAGGCAACTGGCCGGGACCCCAGAGCACACACAGACCCTATGCCCTTCCTCTCCTGCCCACCACCATCACCGTGTCCTACACCCCACTGCTATCTGCATCTCTGCACTCCTGCCTGGGCAACAGCAGCAGTGAATGGTGGCCACTTATCTGAAGCTGCAAATCCAGACGGGGACAGACTTACAGACACATCACTGTGGTCATGAGGCTTCAGTGTTAAGAAAAAAACCTGAACACACAGACAGGGAAGGGAGAGAAGAAAATGCCCAATCAGCTTCCAGAAAAGAGCCTATTTTTAGAGAAAAAGAAGGAACTCACAGGTAGAGGGGGATGCGTGTGTGGATGTGGACAACACCCACTTTCGGGACCTCCTGTTGGTCCAAGAAGTTGAATTACTTCCTAAATTAAGGTTCAGGTCTTCAGGTTTCCTTCTGAGTCTTTAGCCTAGACAATGGGCAGGATGTCACTCACTCCAGGCCAGCCTGGCAGAGCTAAGCTCAAACACAGCTTCTTACTTGCTCTGAGACCCTGAGGAGGCAAACTTAACCTCTCTGGAAAGTGGAGACACTTACAGCCTTCTTCACAGTGTTGTCAAATTAATACAAACAGGGGTGACACACGGCAAAGACTGCTTTTGATATCACCATCGACACTATTACATACTTTTTTTTTTTTTTTTCAAATTGCAGTGCCCCTCAAAATTTATCAGGACTCACTACTTCTCCAGTGGGATTCCTGGCTGACTGGTGCCCTCCAACACACAGCCACAGCCACAGCCACAGCCACAGCCACAGGTAAAAGCTTAACTTCGAATTAAATGGAAGGAAACACTCAGCTCCTCTACCACCCTGGCCACTTCTAAGTGCTCACAAGCCACACATGACTCGTGGCAACCACACCAGACAACATGGGTCTAAAACGCTTTTACAAATATCATTTACTTTACATACCGAGCCTGGCTTAGTTTTCAATTTGTATTATTACTGTTTGTGTAATTGAGTTCAATGAATCGTCACAGAGCCCACGGACTGGGCAGTAGCACCACCATCTCCATTTCAGTAGATGAGAAAATGAGACACGAGGAGGTTAATGTGCCCACAACCACAGGGCAAAGGCCGAGCTGGCATCTCGCTATGTAATTTTGAGAATGAAAATAGATTCACACTCAGGAACGTACAGCTCTCATAGTCCAGGGCATTTAACCGTTGCTAGGTCTCGTCCCATGAAAGCGACTTCTTGTTTAACTCAAGCTGGGCACTCCCCAGAGCCCAGTCCTGCATTCAGCAAAGCAGGAAATGCATGAAGGCATCCCCTTCGTCCCCAGGAAGGGCCACTGAAAACAATGCAAGATCAGATTCCTGATCCACAGAGGACAAGGACACCCGCCAGTGCCTCTCGTGTTTCCGAACCAGAGGACTACGTAGCCTGTACCGGGGAACGTTAAAGCTAGAAGGTTCCTTAGACCAGAACCAAGATGAACGGCTTTCCCTGTCTAGCTGATAGTCCTATTGGCCAAGGAGGGTGGGCTGGTGCTCACTGAGAAGGGATGGTGACTCAGACCAAAGTTGTCCTCTCACCTCAGCCCTGAACCCTTCATTTTACAGATGAGAAAATGAGCCAAGCAAGGGTGCATGGCTCTACCAAGCAAATTCCAAGCAGCTGGGCATCCATCGGAGCTACTAGCCTGGCCCCAGAGGGGAAGCAAATCAGCAGGCCACATGCGGGGAAAACTAAACAGCTTGAGGAGAAAAAAAAAAAAAAAAAAAAAATCAGCCCAGGGGAAAAACCCAGTCCCTTCACCGAACAAAACCCATCTGGGTCACTGCTCTGTCCCCAAAACAGGCCTGATAAGCTGTCTTTTCTGACCTATGCAAATGATAGGCAGGACCAGGCAGCACTTGTTGAAGAAATGCCAAGAACCCTGGGCTCTCAGCCAGGGAGCTGCAATGCTGCTGGCTGGCCTTTGTCCCCCTAGTGGGGAAGCCACTCCCAGTGGCTCTTACCTGCTCCTTACTGTTACTGTTGAGTAAGCCAGGTTTCTTTTTCTTTTTAATAGGGCTTGTTGATGTATCCTGTGGTGAGTGGCCATTGGAAGAATGTGGAGGACTGGGGAACTTTCGTTTCTGGGCTGTTCTCTCCGAAGAGCCAGGATCTGAAAGAGATGCACAGGACCACGCAACTTAAAGCAATCAGAGAGGCCAGGGTCCCACACGGAGGGTGTGACAGTGTATTTTGTATTTTGTTCACAAACTCCCAAGGTTATTTCGGCACTCCTCCTCCTGTAAGATACGTATCCCCATCTTCATTGCCTGCCTCAGAAGTCACACAGTCTTTATTTGGCCTATGTAACATTTTTATAAAATCTTGATTCATTGGCCAAGTATAAAAAATTGGGAGACTCCAAATAAGTCTCCCTTTAAATAAGAAATCAGGACCCACAGGCCCTCGTGGCAACAGATAAAGCCTGATAACAATCATCCCTTTTAGATGGGAACCTGCCCTGTTTTGTCACAACTGTTACTCTTCCCTACTGTGTGTCTTTGTTAACAAGGCTATGACCAAGTTGCCAAGCGTTGTCAGATGGGCACCAGTATTTCCTTTTCCCAAGAAGTACTTCTTTTCCACGCCCCTGCAAGATGGCAAAAGCAGGACACCATGAAAGGCAGGCAAACAAGGCCACAGACTTCAAAGAAATGAAGCCACCTATGCTTCTCTGTGGAAGGTGACAGCATTTATTCACATTCACTAGGCTAACAACAGCATGTAATTGTGTAAAAAGAAAAGAACCCCACCACTGGGAAGTTCTCATGGCCAATCACCACTGGAACTTCTATTTGAGACCCTCCTCCAAAGAGATGAATACGAATTACACTTGGATTGATTGTCACCTGAAAAATACAACCCCAGCCTTGTCAGTCCACTCCTTGATTTCATTCTCCAATTATGTCATTTCAACACTCTCCCAGCAATCTTCACAGAGTGGAATGGAGTTTGTTCCATGCCCAATGATGGTCATGTGAGCTTAAGGACAATAACTGAACAGCTTGGTACACCTTACACCCTGAGGAAGGTGTAACACCAGAAGAGGAGGAGTACATCCTGAGCACAGAAGATGACAGTCCGAAGGGCGTTCCTCCGCCCAGCACACAGGCTGCATGTGTATCTGTTGGTCATCTGTCTGCTGGTGGAGGACAACATGGCCTCCATAGCCCTTTGGACACCTCCAATGAATGGCTGATCCACATGATGGGGCTCCCCAGCCTCACCGACAGGCCTCAAAACATCCTGGACAAATACTCAGGAGACCCAGCACTGAGAGGGGAACCAGAGCCCAGGATCTGGGAATCATCCTGCAAACATCAGAACGAAGGCCAAGAGAGCCCAAAAGATTGGTCCAAAGGCACACATCAGCTAGTCAGTCAGGAAGCTCACTAAAAAGATGCAACCTAGGGCAGACTCAGTCCTCATAGCAAACCTCCTCACCCTCAATGGGTGAGTCCTATGTGAAGCTCCCTTCCTCCACAGAACCTTTGAATTCAACAGTTTCCACCTAAAAAGCCATCTGATAGTCAGGGGAACAGGCCAAGACAAGACAGTTCAAGTGCAGGACTGTGTGTGGTAGACAGACAGGACTGGAAACAACTTCAACACCCACAAAAAGGCCTAATTATGTATCACAGTCACTCAGTGAAGTATTCTGAGGCCATTTAAGAATGATGAGGCAGGCCAGCATGTAATCCCAGCTACTCAGAAGGTGTAGGTGGGAGAAGCACAGTCAAGGCAAAAGGGAGAAAGTACAAGACCCTATCTGAAAAGCAAACCAAAAAAGCAAAAAAGGACTGAGGGTATAACTCAAGTGGTAAGAACACTTATCTACCAAGTTCTAGGCCCTGAGTTCAATCCCCAGTATTGCCAAATAAAGAAGAAAAAGGAGGAAAAAAAGATTGAAGAGATAGTGAGACAGACAACTGTATACAGCTCAGTGCTTGCCTAGCCTGCGCCAGGTCCTAAGTTCCAATCCTAGCACTCCCCCACACCAAAAGAAATGACGAGGCACCTAAGGGCTGAGGTATGATGGCTAGCTCCCCCCAACCTTCTATGTCAAGTTAAAAAAGCAACATGTGTCTAGCATCATTAATGGACCAACACACATCGCCCCAAAAAGATGCAACACGTACACATGTCTGCAAAACCTTGAACACTCCTGGCTGAACATAAGTCCAGCAGACTCTACCTGGGGACATCGAGCAGGGACATCAGAAGCACAGTCTGTAGGGAGTAAGCAAGGATTACTTTTCAGTGTATACCCTTGTGTACTACATACGTCATGTGCCTGGGAGACTTTCTCAAAATAAAGAAAATTAAAAGGATTAAGAGCATTCACTTTCACATTAAAAAAAAAAAAAAGCAGTAAGTGTGACCCAAAACCTGTAATGAGGGGGGCCTAACTGGGAATTAAAAAAAAAAAAAAAGTCAGAAAAAGTTGGGGCTGGACGGCTGCACACCTGGACCACAGGAAGGAGTGTGGGCTTTGTTCTACCTGGATCTGCTACACTCCCCCCACCAGTAGCTCTGCTCATATGTCGGGGTGAGTGCTACTGGCAGGTGTGTGGGGGCCCACAACAAACATATCCTGGAAGAGATGGCAACCTGACCAGGCAAGACCAGAAAGCAACTAGGCCAAGAAGACTGGCAAAAGGAGATGGAGGGGACATTCAGAACAAGACATATGTTTCTCACTGGGATGTTGGAAGAGAGGGCTCTTCCCATTGCAATGACATCAGCTCTCTGCGACGATTCTAATAGGATCTCCAAACATTGTGACAACAAAAAGCAGCCCCACAAACTTCCCAACAGCCTCAGCAGAGAAAGGGCACTACACAGGGACCAGAACAGCCAATGCTCAGCCAGTCTCACAGCCAAACAAGGGCACATGTTCCTCCATGGACAGTTTGGTACCCTGGGGCTGAGATCACCTTGGATGATAGCTTCTGTGACCAGCAGAGCAGCCCCTGAGAACCTGCTAGAAATGCAAATCCTCAGCCCATACCCAGATGTATGGGTATGGGATCAGCAGCCCTGGGCCCCGGGGCCTATTGGAACAGGTTCTCCCAGGGGCTGGGCCATACCAAACTTGAGATGTTCTAGGCTAGCTACTTGGGGGTGGGGTCCCCCAGCCAGACAAACTCCTCCCTCCACTGCCCCACCACTATGTGTTTGGGACTCTGTGAGCAGAAACTGAGTAAGGGAACAGACTAGAAAATGAGGCTAATAGGAGCAGTAAGTCTCTACCTCTGAGGGCCTCATCGCCTCTTGTAAAATCTGAGGGAAAAACAGGGACCAGACCAGAAGTTCCTGCCTGGAGTCCATGTCACTACTTCGGGGATCCATGATTCCATTCTGCACATGGATGCAATTCCTAGGCAGAGGGGCCATGGCTTACTTCACCTTCTCAGAGATATCATAACAATTAAAAGACTACAGTGCCAGACAATTGTAAAGTCCCTTTTGAACTTTAAAATCCTTCACCAGGAAGGAAAGAAAAAAAAAAAAAAAAAAGAAAGAAAGAAACTAATAGACCTGTAAGCAATTTGGGACTAGCAAGGGAGTTTTACCCAAACCTGCCAGAAAACAAAAGGAGAAACCAAGGTCCTGCTTAGTGGAAGGATAGGTCTAGCCCAAGGTTGTCCACACCTTGGAGTATTCCAAACCTTACAAGTCTCAGCAAAATACAAAACCCAATTCTGTTGCTGTTACAAATACAGATTCCCCCCGGAGTTAATGAGTTCAGGGGCTGTATCCAAGGGGTAGATATTTAATAACTTCTGAACAACAGACACATCTGTCAACAGCAGGGGCTTTCCACAGAGGCTCTTAGGAAGAAAAATTGAGAAATGCCTGCTGGCTTCAGCATCCTTCCTAGGATGAGACAGCAGGCCAGCACTAGATCCAGGGGGACCAGGCCTCTACAGTGACTATAGAATGGTGGGTAGAAACCCAGCTGTCATTGTGGTAACAAAGCCAGCATAAGGAAGGACCTTTTCCAGAAAGTGAGTCAATGTTTTTTCTTTTTCTCTAATGACTGAATTCTGACGGGATGCACTGCTACACGGGTCTTGTAGAGAAAACTTAGAACGGTGACGAACAGCCACTACAGACAGAACTACAGGGAAATGGTCAGCCTTGATCTGCAAGGCTTTTTCTGCAACCTTCTCTGGGGTTCCAAGACCCCGTGATTCTACTGGGATGGTCCAGCAGCCACCCACACAAACATGGGAGTTTGGCTGTGAATACGTCAGTGTGGGTGAGGGAGTAGGGCTGCCTGATGGAGGGACAGAACAATGACTCAGGAAAACAGCTCGGCACAGGGCAGAAAGCAGAATTTCCCCCTCCTCATGACATTTCACTAAGATCTTAATAATGCAAGCATGTGATGAGAACCTTCCAGAACCCATGCCTTTTGAACCACCACAAATAATCCCGTGCAATACTTCCTGGATGTCCCTTGAGTTAATAATAAGGGCACTCTTACTTCAAGACACCCTGAGCTTCCCTGAGCCCCAGGTATCAACAGCTAAGACTTTCCTTTATCACATACAATGGCCAGGCACAGATCAAATGCTTTGCGTGTGGCTCCCTCTCCGCAGCTTACCCAAGACTGCACCGCTACCAAAGTGGTAGGGCTGGGATTTGAACCTAGGCACCGAGGTGACTCGGTGGCCCACCTTCCTACCCACTGCAGTTTTGTGCGTGCAGCAGGGGAGCTCATCCTCAGCTCTGTAGCAAGAGGACTTGCTATTTGAAGGTTGAAGAGCTCAGTCTGCTTTTGCCTTTTTTTCCTCAACTGCAGGTGGAGCCATGGGGCCAGGGAAGGTACAATACAGAGCTCCAAGACCAGGAAAAGGGAAAAGGTGGAAACCGTGCCTGTCACTCACTGATGAGGCCATTCTCTCTCAAAGGCTACTTTGGAGCCTACCCTGTGATACAGGGACACATGCCGCCTCTCCTCCCTTTCCATCTCCACCTAGGCCTAACAGGCAGCCACCTCCACCCACATCCGGTGCCTGAGTCAGAGCACTCTCCGTTCTCCAGGGTCCAGGAAGTGACACACACACAGGAATAGTCTCCTCCCTCAGGGAAAGGGCCGCAGCTGAAATGCCAGGCGCTTCGTGTGTTTTTGTGGGTGTTAAATTTCCTTAATGATATGACGCAAGTCTGCTGGGACCTGAATGCACAGGGAAGTGGGGCAGGCATGCCAGTCACAGGAGTGGGGGGGACAACCATGTGGCTGGCCAGGTCCCAGGCGAACTGGGAGAAGTTGGTCAGCCTACACAGAAGTCAGGGGCACATGCTCTGATGGAGCAGGTGGCGAAGGACAAAGGCAGAGCACTACAGTGGGCAGAGAAAATGATCTCTGGTGTTAAGCAGCAGACAGAGTCTTCTCAGCAGTGTGACTTTAAGGAAGCCACTTAACCCCTCTGTACCTCTTCTGCAAAATGGAGATTAGGTATCTTACAGTCACCAGGGTATCAAAGAAGTTAATTCAAGTAAAGCTCAACCTAATATTTGGCGAAGAGCTCCTCATCAATAGAGGTTATTTTTTTTTGTTGTTTTGTTTTGAGACAGAGTCTCACTAGGTAGCCTGGGCTGGCCTCAAACTCTCGATTCTCCTGCCTTCAGCCTCAGAGTGCTGGGATTGCAGGAGTACAACACCATACCTGGCTTGAACAGTACATATATTTAAGACCTTCAGTTACTCCTCCGCCTCTTTTCCTTCTTTCTCTCCCTTCTCCCTCACCACCACCTTTCTCCAAAAGCAGAGCATGTTAAGTTAATCCCATAAATTCAAAGTTATTGAAAATGACGCAGAGTAGGATGAGCCCAAGACATGGCTTCTGCATTTCAGTCAGAACCCGGGATTCCTGGGTATAGCACAATCAGGGTCAGCAGTGGCCTGGCACCGAAGGCGCTCACAGGCGGCACTCGCAGGAACCACCAGCCCTTGGGCCAGCCTGGCCTGCCTCTCGGAGGACCACACGCAGTCACCCAACCGGAAGAAACAAAGCAGAGCTCCGTTAATCATTTCCAACATTCCCAAAGACATAGAGCAGGTACCCAAACCAGCCTCCCTCCCCAGGAATCTTGGGGCCCTCCCCAGCCGGTAATTGCATCATAAAGAAACAAAGGCCGGGAATTTCCTCCTGGCAGAGGACAGAAATCCGAAGCAAAGGGTGGGGGCAGGGGGCAAAACCTGTGCTGCTAGCAAAGAATGCCTGAGCCTCGAGGAACAGAACTGTGTGAGTGGAGACAACCCTCCAGCAGGTGATCCTTTGCTCCTGGGCTCTTGGTTTCAGAGCCAGTGAAACTGCACAGCAAGGCCGCTCCTGCCCACGTGGGCCTGCCAGATCTAAAGGCGGGCAGGCTTCCTGGGGTTCAGCCTCGAATCTACTACTGGGCATGGGAGCCTCTCACCCAGAACAAGAAGCCAAGGCATAGGTCACTCAACTTGGGAAAAATGTCATTTAACAGGGAATCCCAGGCATCTGGACAAAAGGCACTGAGGTTCACGTAGCTCGGGGAAGGGCACTTACCTGCCATAGCACCAGCCTGGCTGCTCAGAGGGCCTGGCCTCTCTTTTCCAAAAGAGAACAGAGGCAGGCTCACAGCAGACATTCCTGCTTCCGGCTCCTCAGTGGCCTCTCCCAGGGGGAGGAGGAAGAGGCAGAGAGGACAGGCTGAGAGTCACCACTTACCAGGCCAGCCCCAGTCTTGCATGCATTAGGTCGCGGGGCAAGGACACCGTCACCCCTCTGCAATCAGAGTCTGCGGCACAGACTTGCCTTCGTGTTCCCAGGCTTTCAGCTCTAATTTACCACCCTGGCCAGCAAGGCAACCACACTGGAGTCCTCATGCAATGCGCTCAAGAGCCATTTACTTCAGTGGATGTGAACAAAACCAGGGAACGAGACGTTCTGCTGGCCAGAGTGGTGATGGGAGAAGGAAGCTGGGGGCTTGGGGCTTGCATTTTGAGAGTGTTTTTAATTTTTTAGATAATTATTTAAGTTAACTTTACTTTTGATGGGTGGGCATCCTGGACAGGAGAAAACCTTTCCCATCAAACCAGCTTCCTCCACCTCTTGAGCAGCTGTGGTGATTAACGGGACACATTCATACGTAAAAGGTGGCAGGACAGAAATTGTTCCCACCCAGGGCAAACAGGCTGATTTACAAGTGAATTCTGAGTTCAGCCCACAACCAGCAGAGCCAATTCCCCAAACGGGGATTTCCTGGTTCCAGAATGCCAAGCACTTTGAGCTTTCTCATGGAGAGGCAGGACTCAACTTCCTACCAGAAGCACTGTGCCCCACCCTTGGGCCCAA